TTTTAGGAACTATGATCTCCTTTATATTTCTCATAGTATCAAATTATAAAAAAGGAAAAATTAAAACAATATTCCTTAACAATTCAGCTAGATCTTCTGTTAGAAGACATTTTCATGACCAACAATTCCTCAAAAAAGTTGGTGGTAGTCAAATTTATGCAAGGATGTTACATGGCTATTTGTTTTATGGAATAATGAAAGGAATTGAAGATGATATAAATGAATTCCTGGTGGATTGTGAACAGAAGTCAAAGCAAATCAAATACTTAATTTTGGATATGTATTGTGTTACTGGATTTGAGATGAATGCTGTCCAAGTGCTTGAAAACATTCAAAAGCATCTTCAGTATCGAAAAATATACCTTGTAATTTGTGGAATATCATCACATGGCTCTGAGCAAGTTTATAAACCATTGGAGAAATTGTCATTTTGGAAAGATTCACATAATGATTATGTAAAGGTTTTTAATAAATATAATGAGGCACATGAATGGTGTGAGGATTCACTCCTGGAAACTCATTATGCTAAACACAAATTATTGTTCAATAATAACCAAATTGGTAATTATTTATAAATTGGAAATTATTTATTAAATATTAAAATAAGGTTAATAATATTATTTTTTTTAATATTTATTAAAGTTGGAGTTCAACATCAGATTATACCATCTTTATTTAATGATGAGACTTTTTGTGATCATCAAGTTGAAGATGCTGGAAAGCATATATTTAAAAGTAAGTAAATCAATCAATCAATCAATCAATCAATCAATCAATCAATCATTCAATCATTCAATCATTCAATCATTCAATTTATCTATTCATCCATTGATTTAATTTTTTAGATGAGCTCTATCCTAAAAGTAGAAACAGACTTGTAAATGTTTTGATGAAAGCATTTGGTGAAATTAGTAATGAAAAAGAGGAATTCTTTAACTCATTGATTCCATATTTTACAGAAGAAAAATTACAAAAGGATTCAACACTGTGGGAAGAAAGATCTAACCCAAATTTTATGTATGTGGTGGAGGAAGGACAATTGAGCATCACACGAATTTCAGCAGAGAATAATAAACCAGAACAAATAGAGAGAATATTACCGCTCACTGTGGTGGGCGAAATGGGATTTTTCACTGATAAACCACGACGAACAAATTTGGTGACAATAACTCCATGTGTCCTATGGGTAATGAATCGATCTGCTTATGCAAAAATGATGGATGACAATCCCATTTTAGGATTCAATTTTATGAGATCGACAATGAAATTATCTGTAGAAAGGTTAAATCATTACCATTATGATTATTATTATAATAACAGGAGAACGTAGATAATATGTAGATGGTAATAATATTTTTATAATTACATCATCGAAAATAAATAATTGAGTTTAAAAAACTTTCAGAAGTTTTCAATTAATAATTAAACCTAATTCCCAAGTCTAAACTTGTCTAAATACCATAACGATTATTTATCTCATGTTTGAAACATTTAGATATAAATTTTGTTAAATAATATAATTTGAATATCACGTCACGAATTTACGTTGTTTTTTACGAAAATTTTTTTCAAGAAAATTTATATATAATACTTTAATAAAATGACTAAAAGTAGAAGATTATCTGTTATTGAACGCGCAGGGATATTTAGTGATTGTAGATTCGGGATATTATCGAAAACTATAAATTATCATGAAAACATATTATAAAGAAGGAACTGTTGACATAAGACACTTTCGGATAGATATTGCGAAAAAAAATAGGAAAGTTGCAGTTGAGGACTATAAAATTATAAAGGTGAAATGTTGGCTTGTAACTTCGATTTACCATAATTCTTATTTACATTATGCAAGGATTACACTAGTAGAAACAAACGTGATTTACATGGTTTATTTATGATATTATAAAAATGGAATGTTGATGATGTTAAGAAAATTGCCCGGTTCAGTTAATTTTATCATTTAATATAGTAGCTGAAACTTTTCACTTTAATGATGTTACGTTTACAGATCGCATATTGATATAGTGAGTGATGTGAGACGTTCAAGAAATTTATCAGCTAAGCTGTCTAAAAAAAAATTTCTCTTGACATTCACTTCATTTTTACGTCCGGAATTTTAGTGCAGAATTAATTCAATGGCATAAACATTTAGTTGAGATGGATCCATCTGCATTACTTAGAATGACTAAAAAACATATATTTGCTCATTTTTTTTAAAAAAAAATTTAAAAATGAAAAATAAAAAACTTTCTTACTTCATTTGTTAATTTATCAGTGCTAAATAAATTATTTGCAAATGTGGTAAGATTATTTCACTTGGAAAAGTAGTCAATCATTATGTTACAAATTTTAAAAGACATTCAAAGAGTAAAAATTGTAATTTTTTTTGGACAACCAGCCTTGCTTTTTTGTTAAAAAGAAATTCCATGCCCCATATATTGATAGTGATCTGAGAGAATTGGAGAATGAAAACATAAATATGTGTCAGGTCTTTGTGACTTAAAATATATTAAATAGCCCAGCAAGTTTTGGTTGTGGTAAAAGACCTGAAGATGTTGCAAAACAATTTTTCCTCAAAAATTTCCTGAAAACAATCCTTTTTCTAGGAAAAGGCTTAATAAAATAGAAAGAAAGAGCATTAGAAGTTGAGGCAACTTGGAATTTGGGCAAAGAAAATTTGACAGTTCACCATATCCAATGTGAAAAACAAACATACAATGAAAATGCTATATATAATAAGTGTGAACTACTAGAATAAACATTTAAACAAATACATGCATGGTTTGAAAATCCTGCAGGATTTATCATGTATTTCTATTAAAGTTTATATTGCAGTATCTCAACAATATTTTCATTTTCTAGGGCATGCTGATATTTTAATTTGATTTTAGTAGATAATGAATTTTTTTTTTATTTACAATACAATTATTTTAGTATGCCAAATACACAAAATTTGCTTTCAAGAATTTTTAATTAATAAATAATATATAATCTGCTCTGCTTAAAAAATTTTGCATGTCATAGGGATTCAAATCGATTTGCACAATTATAAAAAGCGGTCGTTTGATTTGGCGGTGACATACATTCTGTCTGTCTAATGAAGAAAAATATACAGGAAGAGGGTCCTGTATAATTTGTACAATAAATACTAGTACTAGTGTAACATATTGAGAATTTCGACCATTTACAAAATGTTACACGCTGATGTTCAATATGTTCATTTACAATGTCTCAACTAACTTCTGTAATTAAAAGGGCAGAATCTTCTTTGCACACTGCTACTGTTATATTTTTACATGTAAAAAACATTTTATCCTTAATATATTAAGTGTGTAAATGCTCAAGGATTAAATATATATATATATATATATTACATAGGGTTTAGGTGATAGCGGACGTGGATTGGAACTAGTTTCTACAGAAATAGGTGAAACAATGGAACATGTAAAATTTGTGCTACCAAATGCGTAAGCTTATTATGATATAAAAAAGATGATAATAATAGTTGCAAAGACTTGATTTATTTGAAATTTACCTTGTTGATATAGACCAATGCGTTCAATAACTATTAATAGGGGCATGATAATGCGTGGATGGTAATAATTATGACAATTTTTTTTACCTGAATATAACAAATAATTAATAATTATAAATTATATCATAGGTTTGATCTTACAACTCTAAGTTTAGATGAAATGGTGGATGAAGATGGTGTGATGGAATCTATTTCTCAAAGTATAATATTAATATTTATGTTAATATTAATATTGGAAAAAATATTTATTATTTATTTATTTATTTTCAGTAAAAAAATTGATAAAAGATGAAATTGATTCTGGAATTGCTTCTAATCGAATTGTTGTCGGAGGAATTTCTCAAGGAGTTACAATAGCTCTTGGTGCAGGAATATCATCAGAATATCCTTTGGCTGGAATGTTTGGGTAAAATTATTCTTTTATACTTTATCTTTTTTTTTTTGCCTTTTTAATCAAAAATTTTATAAATAATAGATTTAGTGGGTTTTTAAGAATACAAGAAAAGATTATTCAAGTTAATTATTATTACTATTATTATATTGTTATTGACTTTTAAAAATTATTTACATCTAATTAGTATATATTTATTTATTTTAAATAAGATGTCCACTCAAGCAAATAAGAACACACCAATATTTATGACTCATGGTGATAGTGATGAGGTATATAATAATTGCTAAATGATTTAATCAATGCAATATAATTGTTAATATATATATATCTTTTATTTTATAGCTTGTAGATTATCAATATGGTAAACAGTCTTCAGAATTTCTTAAAAAAAATGGTTACAATGTAACTTTTGAAACTTATAATGGAATGGGCCATATTTTTTTTTCCAAACAACAAGTATCTGATATAATTTCATTTCTGAAACAAGTTATTCCTTAAATTTGTTTCTCTTCAAAAATAAAAATAAAACCAGTATTTAATGTAATTCATCTATTTAATATTCAAAACAGGACTTTATATTAGATCATCCGATCATTTTTATAAAACGAACTCATCTTGTGTTATATATATGTATAATGTGAAATTATTATGAAATAAAATGATATTATTGATATTGATGAAATGAATTTGAATTTTGGATTATTATAATAAAGTTTTTGGGTAAAGTTAATAAAAAAGTTGGAAAGTCCTACCATAAAAAGTAGATATGCAATACCACGTATTCTCCATTAACTTATGCATGCAACATTTGGTAAATTATGCAAATTATGCACCCTTTATTATGTTTTATATTAAAATCAAATAATTTTAAATCAGATATATACATGTTTTTTAATGGACGATGATGATTGTTGTTGTTGTTGTTGTTGTTGTTGTTGTTGTTGTTGTTGAGACATTTTCAAAGGTTTTAATCATGGAATTTTTTAATTGTGTAAGAATTTGATAAAAGAAAAATTTCATCTTTATTTATACAGATTCTTTGGAATTTGATGATTTATTGTTTGTTATCTTATTTTATTATTATTGTTGCATTCATCTTTTATTATTGTTTTTTGTATTAATCTTTTTTTGATTATTGGGAAATTTGGATCAAATGTTCTTTAATATTAATCAAACAATTTTAATATTGTTGTTTGCTTTTACTATGATATGATTCTACTTGTGGAAAATATAAAGGGCAAGTGGGAGTCAAGGATGGAAAATTTTGTTGTGCTGAAAAAATCCAACTCAAATTCCAAGCTGATTACATTGTTGAATTGACTGGTATATTGACAAAGCTTCTACTCATTTGATCATTTGAAAGGTATATTATATTTTATTATAATCATTTTTATAATATATTTTTCTTTAAAAAAATCAATTATTATTAAAAACGATAATTATATTTTCCTTTCATTGAATGAACAACTTTCAGTTAGAGTTCTATTTGTAATATAAATTCTTATTTGTTTTATTTGTTTATTCAATGTAATTCCAATAAACCTTATTCAAACCATCAAATAGTAACAATGACAATAATAATAATAACAATAGTAATAATAACATAGTAGCAGTAATAATACCTGCAAGCTTAAAAGTTTTTTCATCAACTGAGAGTTATTTGAGTTCTTAGCTGGTCAAGAGCTGTTCGGCTTATATAGCCGGCCAAATTTTTTCTACTGGTTAACATCATTAATCACATATTTAATATATTACGACGACCTTTGTCACTACATATCAAAATTTCTATTTTCTCAATAAATATTTGACTAATCTTTACAATAAGTTACATATATATTTCCAAACATGAGATCCATTGCTTATTATGCAAATACAATGTTTAATTATTGAATGAATAAATGTTGTAGTATTTTAAAATCCCATAATAATGTAACAAACTGATCCTTACAAAAATTTATACCTATATATTTCAAAACATGAGACACGTTTTTTGTTATGCTAACTAGACATGTTTAAGCTTGACAATTAGGTTAATTATTGGTTAAAAGTATTCTTATAACCTTTTTAAGAGTACAAGTTTTGACCCTTTATCAGAAGACCAGAAAAAATATTTATATATCAACAATTGTCAGTATGTAGATAATCCATATAAAGATATCCTTTACCTAAACTTTATTTTTTTACCAAGTAAAGATGACCTGATTTTTTTACCAGTTATGATCCTTGTAATATAAATATACAGCATGCAAAAAACTCAATTTTTGTCAGAGAACACTTGAGTCACCTTTTGCTAGAGAATCCCCATGTCCAATGTATAACACCCTTTAATGAATATATTTTATTGAAAATTTTAGATGATTTAGTTTGTAGAAATCCAGTATACAAATTTACAATAATTTCCCATTGAATTTTATACAATGTCATTGTTATTATAGTAACAATTGGTCACTTCAAAATATTAAAGCAAAAAATTCTTATATCATTTTGGAAAAGTTAAGCAATAAGTTTTATCATTCATGACCCAAGCTTCAAAACTTATCAGTTAGATTTTTCTCAAACTAAAATTGGCTGAGCCTTAGAATTTCCCTCATTTTTATATATTAAAATAAGTAAATTATATCAATTATAGATTAGGTTCTCAAGAGAGTGCATGTAAATTTTCATATTATAACATTTATATTTAATTAATAAACAATTTAAAAAAATAATAAATAAGACAATCAAATCAAGTTGAAGCTTGTTTTTTATTATTAAAGCTACGTATTATTGGTTTCCAAAACTAGAGGTTGGAACCAGTCAAAAAACCCCCAACTGGTTAATTAACTGGGTTTAAAAATATTTTATTTAGGCAGAGATTAATAAAAAATCACACAACTATGTATTATGTTTATACATGAAGTCGAAACTATTTCAACCATTTGCAGATCTGGTCAAAATAGGGTCAAAATAAGGTCGAAACTGATTTTTACTATGTAGTTGCCTCAAGTCAAAAAGTTACGACTTTGGGTTTTAATTTCAACTTCATGTATAATTATGTTGTTATTTAGATGATTTAATAAATTTCTATTAAATAATGAACAATTCTTATGCCTGCTCATTATGAGCCAACTATCCAATAAACTATAAGAATAATAATAGAGCTAATAACACTAAAGCAAATATATGATAATTATGATGACAATAAATTATATTTCAATAGGTAGTACTGTAAAATCTTGAAAGATAACGCCCTTTTACAATATGATCGACATTCAATTTGAGGATAAAAAAGGTAACATAAAATATTAAAATATTAATTGGTGAAACGTGTACGAAGCAGGGGATTTACATATAAAAATTTGGGCATATTTACTAATTGAAGGAAATAATCAACTGTGTTTGTGAAATAGTTATACAACATACAAAATTCATATCACACCAAATTTTGTGCAAAAAAATAGGATAAATGTGAAAAAACATGAAAATCAAAAAAAAATCTTTATTATATGTTAGAAAAAAAGAAAGTTATGTACAAAGTCACCATTTGAAGGTTTTTGCTTTATATTTTATATATGAAATTAAGTATGTTGATCAATTTTCCCCTATAATAGTGTTAGAATTACTACGTTTTCTACTCATTTCAATGGGAATACCAACTTCTTTCAAGGTTCTTTTTGCATTTTATAGTTTGGAGTTTTGGAACTTCGCTTTTATCAAACTGGCCTTCTTCTTCCACCATAACATTCAACTCTTCCAACATAGTTTCAGCAGTGTATCTTCTTGTTCTATCTGCTTCTCCAGCTAAAAAGAAACCTTCCAACAAACTTGTAATTTGCACAGGCATATGATTACCACCACCTTTTTGTCCATATTTTTGGTTGCTTTTCAGTGCCCAACCCTTGGGAAGTTCAAAGACCGATTCAAGTGGTTCATTACCAGCTAAAAATTCAGTAGATAAGTGAAGTTTATATTTTCAATCATTGATTAAAATATAAAAAATAAAATTATACCTGCATATTGGATCAAATGTTGATGAAACATTTTTTTTACTATCTATTGTCTGATCTAATAATAATTATTAAAAATATCTTATAGGTTTAGCAGTGTAAATGGAATACCATATAGTACTGCCCCTACTTTAAAACAATTGAGTGTCAATATAAAAAAATGTTTACACATATGTTTTGTTGGCCGGTGTTTGCTGATGCTATGTGAGGTTGACATTTTTCAAGAATAATAAATAGTAACAATAAAATAAATAACAGATTTAATTCAAGGTGGATTTGTATTTTAGCTTGTTAATGATGTTGAAAATAATATATAAAATAAAAAAAGCTGTGTCATGAAGTTGCCATTTTGGACATTAGTAAATTTATTATGAAATTTGCCCCTATGATTTTATAAGATCTGCGAATTAATCAAATTATTTGTATTGCTCAGTTGACCTAAATATTTAGAAGCATTAGTAATTAGCAATTAGTAAGCTAGTATTACAGAAAACAGCATTAATAAGCATATTTTATTGGATAAAACATTATAAAGGTCATGTTATTTGTAATACCCCAAGAGGTATAAAAGAGCTTGGTTTTGGACCAAGTGAGAATCATCATGTTCATGATACAACAACAATAATAATATAATAATAATAACCTTTTTATATTTTATTGGACACATCACAAGCTGTATTTTACATGCTCGCAACATACATGCAACCTTTAGAAAAAAAGATATTAAAATACAATGTAAAAATTATGAAACTACTACTATAGGTATAATTCATTATATTAATATTAAATTTTGATTTATTCGTTTTTAATATTAATATTAATATCAATATTAACTCATTAAAAGGCATTGAGTTGATATGTACATTTGAAGTGGTTCTAGATGAATACCATAATGAAGTTATTGGTATTATAGTGGCCCCAAATATAAGCCATTTCAGCCGAGATGCAAAAAAAAGAGTAGATATTACCAAACATAATACTATTCTTACAGATGATACAAATATTAATATTCAAACACAAAAATCTGATGTTTTTGTCTTATTATTATTATTATTATCTATTACTATATATATAGAAGCATAATGGACACTCGTTTTATCACTTTGTGACAAAATCGATTGTTGATCTTTTTTATGTTGTGAAACATGTGA